TTAAGTTTTTCACAAAAAGCAGTCTTGACATTGAGGACGCATATTCAAATGGCCGAAATCTGGGGAGAAATTAGACTTTGGTGGTAAGCTAAGTCAACATTTTCGGCTGAGCCCGTCAACCGGCTGCAAAAAGTGACACCTTTGGCGAGGATTTTAATAGCAGTGATGAAACTTGTTCAATTTTACATTTGTTCGCGGGCATCACATAATGTAGGAAGACATAACAGTCTCTTGAATTCCGAAAATTTGGGTAAAAACCCACACCCGGCCACGTTGTATTTTATTATGCGTCCGGGTGGTCGATTGAATACCCTACGCTCGGGTCGAGGTCAATTTTGCCCCCCCCCCCCTCTTCCATCACTGAGTTCTCGAAAGCTGAGCAGGCGGGAGGCACTAATTTCACGGAATGTGTTAACCTATACGTGAACTTACATGTGTCAAAATTTCAAATCAAATCAAATAAAAAACGCGCGCCCGGGTGGCCACCTAGCACCCTTTGCTCGGGGGAGGGGGGGGGGGGGGCGGGGGCCAAATTGACCCCCTTGAAATCTCGGGAACAAAGAAAGCTAGAGACAACAAACTTACAGAGCGAGTTGACCTTGAATTCACTCAGAGCAAAGTTTCAGGTTCCTAGGGCATGACCTTCGGGTCAAAAAAGGTAAAACAAGGTAAAGTTCCAGGTTGGTCTCCAAAGTGCCCCCAGAATCTAGGCGACCGTTTCTAAGCAAAAGTTCACATGCTCACTTAAGGTCAGTGATCTTGTTTGTCCTTTTGAAGGTCAAGGTGACCAAAACCATACAAGATTACTTTGAGTTTTGCATTTGATTACGCGACAAAGACGCTAGGCAGTATGTTCCTGAAACAAAATGCTGACCTGGTTCATTTTAGGCCAATGACCTTTTCTGACCTCTAAGAAGTCCATGGAAGATGAATGATGCGGCTCCTGCTAACAATAAACTCGAAATGAGCACCAGAAACTATCCCATACAGCAAGCCCTAGTGTAACAAAACAGGTTGGTTTTGACCTTGGTGTGACCTTTGTACCTGACCTTAGGTCAATTTCATTTACTCATTCAACCGTTGTGTCGCCTAGGAAAGCATCTCAGAGATGTATGGCTTCGTCTAATACTTCGTTGTTGGATCAGATCGAAGAATTCCCTAGAAATTGCCTTCGATGAAACCATGACCTAACTTTGACCTGCCATAGGTCAGCGACCTTACAACGGAATTCTAGATGTTTAATGCCAAACGATTCACTATTCAATTGTCCACAGCTATACAAAATTTGGCGCGGCTGCGCCGCGTCTTTCGGAAACCATTCTCAAAAAATCTTCGGGGGAGGGTCAATTTGCCCCCTCGACCCGAGTGTGTGTTAACACGTGCTCGGGTGGGAAGAGTCAGTTGGAGCCCTGCCCTTCCCCCCCCCCCCCAGGTTTTTCAGAAATTATTTTGCACCAAGTTTTTCATGGCTGTAAACAATGGAATAGTGAATTATGCGATATAAAGCATTCAGATGTATCTTGTAAGGCCACTTATATATGACAGGTCAAAGTCAGGCCATGAATTGAGCGAAAACAATTCGCAGGAAGTCTTTTAATTTGATGCAACAACAAGGTGTTAGACGAAGTCATTCATCTCCGTGATAGTTTCCCCAGGCAACACAACAAATAATGAACAAATTTTGTTGACGTAGAATTGGGTATGAGGGTCAGACCAAGGTCAAACCCGACTTGTTTTGATATTCTAGAACTTGCTGTGTGAGATAGATTCTAGTGTTCATTTTGAGTTTTATAATGGCAGAAACCGCATTATGATATTCCACAGACTTTAAAGATCAGAATGTCACTGACCTAAACTAAACCAGATCAACATTTTGTTTTTGGGGATATTCTGCCTAGCGCAATCCTTGGCGCCTATTCAAATGCAAAAATCAAAGCAGTCTTGTATGATTTTGGGCAACATGACCTTTAAAGGGTCACACAAGGTCACTGAACTTAAATGACCACCAGGGTCTCGTTGCTTAGAACAAGTATCTAGGTTCACGGTGTTTGCATGAGAAGGTCTGGGAAACTTTAAACACAATCTGGAGTTTGACCTTGTTAACCTTATTTGACCCAAAATCATGACCTAGGAACCTCAAAACTTAACAAAGATGAGTTCACGTACAGGCCAATACACCCTGCAAATTTGGTGTCTCTAGCTCTCTTAGCTTCTCAGATCTCAGGGGGCTAAATTGACCCTACCACTCCAGCGAACGGTAACTAACCGGCCATCCGGGCGCGTGTCAAAACTACGTTAGTGAAAATTTGTAGCCACGTCATTTTCCTTATTAGTCGGGACCGGCCCTCTAAACTGGAGATGTTCCTATGCCCCGAGCCAGCCCACTCCTGTGCAAATTCTCGTCACGGTCTTGGTCTAGGCATTTTAGTTTTTATCCTCTCATTCCATGATGCGTGCCCGGAAAACCCATGCACTTTTACTATTGCACCATTTCGCATGTAGCATAGTTCTTCCATGTCCAACCCAAGCGTTAAAATTTTGGCGTTCCCACCTTATGGCCCTATCTATTGAATGGTATGTCACCTCCACTCGTATTTTTGTATATAATGCCAGACAGACTGTTTTGTGTTCCCCAATTACACTGCAAATCTCCAAATCCCACTCTAAACGCCATAGTCCACGCTATATAACATACAACATGCACACTGTTGTTTTAACCGTACTTGCATGTTTCCCCCCTCCCGACTCCTTCGCCGTTTTCACGGTCTGTATATTACTATTCACACCCCACAGTTCTTATCACAATTCCCTTGAGACATGATCACCACTGACTGCAGCGGCGCACACGCAGGCGCGGCCAGAGACGGGCCCAGGCCCAGGCAAAGGCACAGCGCTCGGTGCGGCACATCCCAACACCTTACCATACGCTGCAAGCGTTTCACAGCGAGCGACAGAACAGAAGCGCAGGAGATAGCATCCCACATGTGGTCTGGTGCCTCAGCGCGCCCGCGGGCGGCACGGGTGTGTCGCTGCCGATCTGTGCGACGCAGGGCCGCGGTGCCGTCGCAGGTTCAGCAGCGGTGGGACAGCGACATTGCTCTTGCCTGCCGCCCGCTGCCGCTCTGGATGTTCAGGTTGGCAATATGCGAAATAAAATTCTGCGTTCTGTTGGGGTTGGATTTCCTGGCTGTCTTTCCGTGAGAAATGCTTGTTTGTATTCGATTTCCTACGAGCTCCTTCTGGCGTTACGAATAACCTACCTGGCCTTTGCTTTAGCTTGTTTGTATTCCATTAGATGAACAGTCCGTCGACTCCGTCTAAATCCGTTAAGTGGCCTTTTACGATTTCGAATGGCGTCTTTGCACTCTTCGTTCCACCAAGAGCAGCTGTATGTTATTTTTTTATTTATCCTGACAGGGGTAATCTCCTGAGCCACGCAGTTCGCCCCGTATCAGCACAGAAACCCTCACTGACGCAACAACATCCCTGATCGCCGCAGGTGGTCCAATAATTGTCACATAGACTCCGGTTTCACGTTTGTTGTGTTCTTCAGAGATACTGAGAACTCCCTGAACGTAGACTGTAGGTGAGATGGTGGTTCCAAATTTGTATTAGCATAGCTAATCCATGTTCGTCTTAAAATGTTCAAGATCCAGTCGGAATTGATCACTGATAAAAACTATGTGACATGGTTTGAACATTCGCGCTCGCAACTCGTAGCAAACGTCAGCCTCGATGTCCGGCGTTTTGGCCTCCATAGGCCGCGCGGCGTCGGCCCTGCGGGTGTAGCACTAAATGGTGGCCAATGAGCAACCAAAAAAGGTGACGCATCTTGAGGAATATGGCTGGTGAACTAGGAAAATCGGCATAAACCTTTAATGCAGTGCAACAGTAAGCCAAACACAACCTAAATCTGAAAAATGAGGAGGGCAGTTAACACCACTGCCCCCCATGGCCCCCCTTGGGGGGCCATGGCCCCCTGGACCCCTGTTCCTACGCCCATGCATGTGAGCACGGCCCGCACTTGTCGTCGGCTACCGATTTTTTTTGGGCAGTGGGTAATTTTTACTATTACCTCCGCCCTTGTTTATATGGTAGCTCTTCCCAAAATCCGGTAGCCTTTTGAACGACGCAGTTGTTGCGCATGACGGCTCGTTCGTTGTCGGGGACGCCGATGCCGCTTACGTACAGAGTGACGGTGTGAATGGAAAGCACGGTTGTTGGGTCTGCAGTGGGGTGTGTGCTGGTTAGTGACGTGGTAATGCACGGTGTAAACTAGCCGATTACCTTTCTGTACAAAGGTGTAGGATTAATGGGCCTGAGCAAAAAAAGCCTGATGATCTTATTACACCTATCTTCACGCTGTCTGGTAGAAAGAAGTGTAGGCTAACGCAGGATTGTAAAAAATTGACAGTTGTGATATCGGTAAATAACTAATTGATGAGATTGGGTTTACATTTGCATTGAAATGGAAGTTTTATGCTCTTTCATTGCCGAACACTGAAAGGTTACAAAGTCTCAGTGAATATCAAGTGCTGGAGCTGGCATTTGATGAGCTGTTAAATGACTTCTCAAAAGTCCTGCCTGCCTGTTGACACTGCCAATCAGATCAGTTTCTGAGTGTGCCAATTTTGTGGCATGTAGGATTGTGACTGTTCTTGTCAATGGTGGTGTATCACAGGATGCTTTGCCATTGGGTGTGTGGTGGGATTTGGTCTGATCCTTTACTGGTTATTCCAGAATATCAATGTGATATGCATGTGAATATTTATGTATTGATCTATAAAAAGTGTGTGAGATGATCCTTAGTTTAGGAATGAGGCATTCTGTGACTGTGTTTGAAATGGAGTGATGCAAATTGGTGCCATTTGGCACAGTTGGTTTTTGGATGTTGCATTGGTGATAGTGCATTGGCATATGAAGTAAATTGTGTTTGTTCTCCATGCAATATATGCTTTTTGAATAAAACTTTTTGGCCATCATATGTTGCTGCATCTGCAAATGTGAACATAAACTTAATGTAATTTTTTCTAGCTTTCATAGCAAATTGGTACTCTCATGGGCTGCAGGTGTCATGCAAAGTTTTGTTCTTCACATTAATGGAAATTTTATGTTTTCAGGGTTCTTTGTATCAGTTTAAACCATTGTATGCTTTTTTTAGTTTTTAATATTGAATTCATTCCATTTTTGTGTTGCTTTTGCCATACTATGTTGATGCAATTTAACTTTTAAGATTTAGTCATGACCAAATTATGTGAATTTCTCCATGTGATCTAGCTCATTTAAGGGCCTCTCATATGACCATCAGATATCTTATTTGTAGTGTCACCTTGGTGTTCCACCTTGATGACATGGGTATTGTTGGGGGTAACAATGGGGTATTCAGGTTTAAGACAGCCAGGTAATGGAAAAACATGCACCGCTGCAGGTAGAACTTAATGCAAAAATAGCATTGGCTGTGGTTGGAGACACACCTGCCTGTCAGTAGCTTGGCTCAGGTTACTTCTCACTGTTGGTTACCGTGATATGCAGGGGCCTAGCCTGAAGCATGAAGGTGACAGCATAGCTGTTATACTTTCATGTTTCCATGTAATAAGGCAATAGCGATATGTTGTGTATTAATTTCATTTGATGCATATTGCATTTTTGCATCCTGAGTCAATTTCTGCTAATATATCTCCCATTTTCAGCATTCTTTTGCCAGCATGTGGTGCACATGGTATACATGCATCTGACTTTTTTTGAAAGGACTTAAGTTGCAAATAGAACAGCAAGTGTAGACATGTTGCATCACCCCAGTGAAACAGCCTGAAGTAACCAGTGGCTTAGTTGACCATTGTCTGTATTCAGTATTGTATATATACCTTATAAATGAACTGCTCCAATCCCCTATGCCTGCAAAGGTACCAATGTCTCAAAAATATGTGTCAAGGCACAGTTTGTCTATGTCTGAGTCCCAGCTGTGAATGGTGGAAGATGCAATGGTTTCCAACACCAAATGACCTTTGATGGGTCTTGCACATTGTCATAACAAGAAGCTGCATAAGTATGCAAAAATGTGACACCATATGCACCATACACACAAGAAAGTGCTGCTTTTGCAGCCTGTTCTTTTGTAAGATCATCGCTTTGATTTTGTAGGTCACCAGTGTTGTGATATAATGGTATTATTTCCATCCAGGAAAGATGAAGAAGCGAGCGACGGTCCGTATGTCCATGTTTTGTCCGGATGGCTCCCCTACACCAATTGGCATGGACAGAAACATCACTAAAAGAGCAGCTGGAAGGTCGTCCAAGAAAGTTGCTGGTATGTAGTGTGCATGCTAGTGAATGATTAGTTTGGAAGGAAGTCAGATCACTATTCTTGTATGATTGAAGAGTTAGTCATAAAAATGAAAATATGGTTTGTGAAAGCATCTGTTAGGTATTTGTGTGGATGTTTATTGATCAGAGATGATGGACATGGGCTTACAGTTGTCAGATGGTGACGGTGGTCTGGCTTGTGGCGTGCCGGCATGAAGGCCATTTCGCTGTTATCCTCCTTTATGGACAACTTTGATGTCAACTCTATGGCGTTTCATGTGAAGCAAAGCGATATAAGATTTGTGTTTGCCACTGCTTGCCTTCACAGCCCTTGCTGTCTTATCCGTCATTACTGTGTTAAATTTTGCCCACCCTGTTGCTGTCCGGGATAGCGCGGCATGACCTGGCGATGAACGCACTGGGCGAGGATTAGCCTGACGTCAGTGGTTTGGCCGTCAGCTGACCGCTCGCGTTTGACGGCAGAGTTCAACAAGCTGTCGCGGCGGCGGCCGGAGCCGGCGTCGGAGCGCGAGAACGCGCCGCCTTCGCCCCGCCGCCCCGGCCGCCGGCTGTTCTCGCGTCCGACGCTAGCCGAGATCGGCGAGGCGGCTGACGCGCTGCCCCTGGCCACTGCCCGGCCGCCGCTCCGGCCGCTGGCCGAGCGACAGCAGTCGGCCTGTGACGAGGGCGCGCTGCTGAGACGGCCAGAGCTGAAGACAGAGCTGAAGACGCGGCCGGAGGAGTCGGTGGTGGAGGAGGAGCTGGCGTTGTTAGGGCGACGAGGTCCGGCGGCGGACACGACGCGCGGTGCTCCCAAGACGGGGCGGAACGGCTGGGACGAACCGTCGAAGACGACACGGCCGCTAGAGAACGGCGTTGAAAGGCCCACGCCTATGACGAAGGTAGCGCCAGTGGAGCTGACATCTCCCTCATCCCAACCAGAGCCGTCTGTGAATGTGCGACTGACCTCGTGTGGCGGCGGCAGTGACACGCCCTCGCCGGGAGCGAGGAACCGACCACTCTCGTCCGACTCGTTCGAGTCCGCCGCCTCGTCACCAGTCGTCACCAAGGCTCGGCTGACCGTCAGCGAGGCCCGGCCGTCCGTCAGCGAGGCCCGGCCGGCCGTCAGCGAGGCCCGGCCGTTTGCCAGCGAGACCCGGCCGTTTTTCAGCGAGACCCGGCCGGCTGTCAGCGAGGTCCGGCCGACTGTCAGCGAGGCCGGCCGCTGTCAGCGAGGCCCGGCCGACTGTCAGCGAGGCCCGGCCGACTGTCAGCGAGGCCCGGCTGGCCGTCAGCGAGGCCCGGCCGACTGTTGGCGAGGCCCAGCCGGCTGTTAGCGAGGCCCGGCCGACTGTCAGCGAGGCCCGGCCGTTTGCCAGCGAGGCCCGGCCGGCTGCGGTCCAGCCGGACGCCGCCTCCAGCTCGGGCTCTGAGCAGAGCCTGCCGTACTTCACCCCCAGGCGGCTGGTGCGCCGCCGCCCCGCCGCTGCCGTGCTCGAGAGCTCGGACGAGAGCGGCGTCGCCGACGGTGGCCGCTCGGCGCCGCTGCTGTTGCGCGCCCTGCGGCGCCTGCCCGCCTCCACGTCCACCCCAGCCGTGGACGCGCCCACCCAACCGCCGGACGTAGCCAGCCTGCCGTCGCCCGTGCTGGAGGCCGGGCCGCTCGCCGGCGGTCGGCCGGGCGCGGCCTCTGCTCACGGGAGCTGGGAGCGGGCCGAGGGCGAGGCGCCCGCGGCGGAGGCTGCAGTGGAGCGACGCGAGCCCACGGGGCGCCCGCCGCCGGACGCGTCCGTCGCCACCGACCCGGAGAGCGCCTCGCTCGTCCTTGCGGTTGGCGCGCCCGCGCCCCGTCGGCGTTCGCTGGAGGTGCGGGAGGAGACGCCGGCCACCGCCCCCGCTGGGAGTCCGCGTGAGTCGTGGCCAGCTCCGGCGGCCGCGTCCCCACCGGCAGCTCCAGCTCCGCCACCAGCATTGGCCGCGCCCCCCGCTCCGCCGTCGGCTCTGAACGCACCGCCGGCCGACTGCGCTGACGTGGCGCGCTGGGTGGAGGAGAGCCCGTTCCTGACGGTGCCCTCGGACGAGTCGGACGTGGTCGTGATCAACTCGGACTCGGAGTGGGACGACTCGGACCTGCTTAGTGTCTCGGAGCGCGCCGCCGTCGCCGGCGTGCCGCCGTCGACCGGCGAGACGCCGGCTCCGCCGCCGCCGCCGTCGCGCCGGCCAGCGCCGGCCAAGCCGCCACGCGGAGCCGGTCACCAGGAGCGTCCGCAGCCGGAGGGGGTCGGCCCGGCGGCGGGTGCGCCGCGGCGCGAGCGGCCGCGTCACAACTCGGGGTCCTCCTCCGGAGATGAGCTGGAGAAATGTGAGTGGCGGTGGCGTCAGCAGCGCCGCCGTGGAGCGGGGAGGTGGAGTGGTGCTGCTCTCTGTTGACGGAAATACGAGTTAGGTTCAATGGTCGGGCCAGCTCACGGTCGGGCCAGTTCACGAAACTGGTTTGTTTTACTAAATAACCGATATTTGCACCCGAATGCATCATATGTGTGTGGTCCAGCGTTCCATCCCTCCATCATGTTGATTATGCCCATTCGAAGAGTGCGTATTAGCCAAGCTAAGCGTGCACGCCTCTAAGCTGTGCACCTGATTTTCAGTTAAACGCCTGTACGTCACGCCCAGACGGAAAGCCCGCGCACTATCCTCAACGAGCGAAAACGAAGACGACTTCATCAACGACGACTCCACGAGCGAGGACGAGCTCATATACCACCGCGCGGTGGCCGGTGCCGCCCGCGCGCGCAACCCGCGGTGAGCCGCCGCCGGGCGCCAGGGCCGGGGGGAGGGGGGGGGGGGGGGCGCCACATGCCGGCCTGGAAGGCGCGCCGTCGGTGGATTCAGCCGCTGTGGGAGAGCGGGGCAGGTTTGAGCGTGGAGCGGAGCGGTGGAGGCGCAGGGATGGACGCCGAGTTGTAGGCGGTGCGCTGGAACTGTGGCTTACGAAACGCTCGGGGAAAGCTTCACAGCTGGTTCTCGGTTTTCTTTTGAGTCACAGGCGACTCCCAATCCCTGACTTTCGGTTTGTCATCTTATTTGTCCGGGTTCGGTCCGGGCCGACCGATCCTATCACCGTTTGACGACTGTCTAGTCGCGGTTGTACGTGCCTGCGCTCGTGCCCCAGCTCTGCGTGCGAAGCCGACCGGTCCGCGGCGGCCATGTTGGGTGTTGAGCTGGTGTCTGACGCTAACACTGAAGTGGTATTTGCTACTGACGCTCGACTGCTGTCCGCTGCTGACACTGAGCTGCTGTCCGCCGCTGACACTGAGCTGGTGTCTGCCGCTGACGCTGAGCTGGTGTCTGCCGTTGACTGGTGTCCGCCGCTGACACAGCTGGTGTCTGCCGCTGACGCTGAGCTGGTGTCTACCGTTGGCTGGTGTCCGCTGCTGACGCTGAGCTGGTGTCTGCCGCTGACGCTGAGCTGATGTCCGCCGCTAACGCTGAGCTGGTGTCCGCCGCTGACGCTGAGCTGATGTCCGCCGCTAACGCTGAGCTGATGTCCGCCGCTAACGCTGAGCTGGTGTCCGCTGCTGACGCTGGGCTGGTGTCCGCCGCTGACACTGAGCTGGTGTCCTGCCGCTGACGCTGGGCTGGTGTCCGCTGCTGACGCTGAGCTGGTGTCTGCCGCTGACGCTGAGCTGACGTCCGCTGCTGACACTGAGCTGGTGTCCGCCGCTGACGCTGAGCCGGTGTCCTCTGCTGACGCTGAGCTGACGTCCGCTGCTGACGCTGAGCTGATGTCCGCTGCCGGCAGGCCGGACCCGCTGATCTGTGCCAGCGACGAGTCGCCCGAGGCGGCCGGCGTGTCACCGGACGAGCCCGTCTTCAGACCGCCTCGGCCTCAGGTACTCAGCGCTGAGCTGCTGACGTCCGGCGCATGTTTGACATGACGTCGGGAAAACCATGCCGTCTCCTCTTAGCCCCTGTAGGTCTTCTGTTAACGTTTGTATTCTCTTTGTATAGAACAACGAAAGGTCCCGGGATTTTTCAATCAAAGTTTGAAACACATGGTCGAAGAAGCTTTAACTGCATGCTTTTATTGTCCGTACATGTTTTTCAGAACAATTTACTTTGCTTAGACCATGTCATCAGCGTGTCAGAACAATGCTTGTGGTAATGCCTTTTATATGCTTGCGCATACAATAGCTCTGCTTTGCTTTTCAAACTCGGTATCCGAAAAATATTGCTCCGCTGTGACACGATTGGTTGACACTTGCAATATTTGACTTTTTACTCGGTCCAGACCTGTGACCCGCTGACCCGTCCACATAGCTTGCATGACCAACCGCTGGGCTTCTCACTACTGTGTGGCAACTGGTAGGCATGGGGGTCGGCCACCCAGTAACGCTGATGACTTAATTAGTGGCCGGTCAGGGGCCTGGCACTGAGCGACTTTGTCATAACAATACGTTACTCAGCGACTGTATCATAACAATACATCACTCGTTAAAATATTTCGCAACCAAATCCGTTGGCGTAGGACCGCTGTAATCTAGGGGTCTTGGGGTCCTGGATGCACACTAAAAATGGGAGCTGTGCCGCATCCAATGCTGCCAACAAAATTCCAAGGCTTAAGAAAGTTGATGTTTGTTACGACTGCTGGACCTAATATGCCGCCTTTCCAAGCATTTTCAGGTAGTTTTAGTTTTCCTTGCATTGCTACATTTCGGTACTGGGCTGCGCAGGAGACGGTCAAGTCCCCTTCCTCTCCGACTCAGGCGTGACTCTTGGCCATGGCGGCCAGACGAACCATCGCCCCCCCCCCCCTGCCGACCTACCTCTCCCCTAGATCAGTCGGTAGAACTGCCGTCGGCACATGCCTCCGCCTGGCTCCACCCACCACCTAAGGTTGCCGTAACTGCCCCCTCCCCACGTGCCGCCAGCCATTTGGCGCCGGCCGGCTGGGGCGGCGGCCGGGCGGTGCCCGCCGCCGGGGCATCTGCGGCCCGTCCGGCCGGCGGCGCCCGGGTCACACGTTCTTGCTCGCATTGGCCGGCGGCCGCGGGCGGCGGCGGCCCGGGGCCGGCCGGGTGACCCGGATTGCGCGCGCCCGCGACGAGCGGCGCTGCCAGACGGACCCGCGGCGAGCGGCGCTGTCAGGCAGGTCCGACGGCGAGCGGCCCTGCCGCGGCCCCCGCTGAGGTCTGGCCGTACCGCGGCCCCGCCGAGGTCTGGCCGTACCGCGGCCCCGCCGAGGTCTGGCTGTACCGCGGCCCCGCCGAGGTCCAGCTGTACCGCGGCCCTGTCGAGGTCTGGCCGTGCCGCGGCCCGCCGAGGTCTGGCCGTACCGCGGCCCCGCCGAGGTCTGGCTGTACCGCGGCCCCGCCGAGGTCTGGCTGTACCGCGGCCCCGCCGAGGTCTGGCCGTACCGCGGCCCCGCCGAGGTCTGGCCGTACCGCGGTACCGCCGAGGTCTGGCCGTACCGCGGCCCCGCCGAGGCCTGGCCCTGCCGCGGCCCCGCCGAGGTCTGGGCCTGCCGCGGCCCCGCCGAAGTCTGGCCGTACCGCGGTACCGCCGAGGTCTGGCCGTACCGCGGTACCGCCGAGGTCTGGCCCTGCCGCGGCCCCGCCGAGGTCTGGGCCTGCCGCGGCCCCGCCGAGGTCTGGCTGTACCGCGGTCCCGCCGATGTCTATCCGTACCGCGGCCCCGCCGATGTCTGGCCGTGTGGCGGAGTGATCGTGGTGACACTGGTCGTGTCTTCAGGCGCGAAAGCCGCTGGGCTCGGCGGCGCGAGCCACGCCCGGGCCGCGCAGCACGCCGCGCCAACTCAGCTTCATGTCATCGCTGGCCACCCACCTGGTGGAGGGCCGCCGCCGCTGCCCGCAGGCCGCCGCCTTCGTCACCGGCTTTAAGACGAAGAAGCTGGAGCTGGCGCGACACCTGCTGCGGCTGATTAATGCGGAGGTCTTCGAGGATAGGTGGGGCGTTTCGTTAGCGGTGCGAAATCGCGTCCTGTTGGCTGGGTGCTCGTTCAGAGCTTCGGCCGGGCGCCAGTATTTCATGAGCTCAAACCCAGTCGGAGGGACCCTTCACGCTTGTTAGCACCAGTACTGGGGTGGGGCACGCCTGCTCCTCCGAACACCTTAAACTTGCCTTGGATTCGAACTGAAGTCAAGTGATGGCAGAGCAGTATTCTTGCTGGTACTGCCCTGTATGACTTTATTCCCATGGCACGGTCAGTTTGAGTTGCCCAATTACAGGTGCCACGTGTCATCCCCACATTTGTCGCCCTTACTGCCGTTCCGCATACACAGTGATTGTATTTCTGTGCTCCTTTTTACGCAATTTATGTGTCTGTGTCTTCTGCATAACACTGCATCTGTGTTTTCTGCATAGGTTCTGTCTCTGCACGTTACGTTTAACGTGGCTTTCTGTGTGTCTGTTGTTATTTTCGCCTCTACTGGGGTCATTTGCTGTGTTATCCTATTGTTTTGCTGTATGCTTTGTCTGTTTATCTTACCGTCCGTACATTTGTATATTCTCTTTGTCATTCCCTTTTGGAAGCAGAGCGGACGAATGCCAAAAGGCCTGTTAAGTTTCGTCGGGACACTTGTCACCTGGCAAATGACGTACAAATCAAATCGAGAAGATGCGGTGCTACAACTGGCTTGCATGCAGTGACTGGAGTCAGATCTAGGAGTTTGTGGCCCCTGTCCGGTCTCCCCTGCCGGTGTTGGCGCTCCCGTGGCTGCCTGACCCCCCCCCCCCCCAATCCGGCTCCCCGCCACAGCTGGCCCCCGACCTGGAGATCAAGTTCAACAAGCGCATGCTGCGTACGGCCGGCTTCTGCTACAGCAAGCAGACCGCCTGCGGCGGTGCGACGGTGCGCACGGCGCGCATCGAGCTCTCGGAGAAGGTGGTAGACAGTGCTGAGCGGCTGCGCGACACGCTGGTGCACGAGCTGTGCCACGCCGTCGCCTGGGTTGTGTCGGGCGACCGCGGCGGCCACGGACCCGTGTGGCGCGGCTGGGCCGGCCGCGTGCAGCGCCGCTTCCCCGAGCTGCCGCCCGTCTCGCGCTGCCACAGCTATGAGATCCGCTGCAAATACACGTACCGATGTACGCGGTGCGGCTACAGCTTCGGCAGGCACTCCAAGTCGCTGGACACGCAGCGCAAGGTGTGCGGCCGGTGTCACGGCCGGTTCGAGTGCGTGCTGACGGCGGCGCTGGAGCGGCCGGCCGGCGCCGCGCCGGCCACGCCCCGCACGCCCGCCCCGTTCGCCCTCTTCGTCAAGGACAATTATGGCTCGGTGAAGAAGGATTCGGCCGGACTCAAGCACGCCGAGATAATGCGCGTGCTCGGGCAACAGTTCGCCGCTGCCAAGATTACCAAGGAGGGGGAGAAGGTACGTGCGACTGAGTGCAGCGACTTTTAGTTGGTGTTTTACGTCTGTAGGTGTTGACCGAGCACGATCGCCCCTGTTGACCTCTGACCTTCGAAATGGCGCACGCCGCGGTGACCGAACGATTTCTGTTTAAGAGATACGTCCATGACGTGGGGCCGAGTTCTGCGTGGTGACAGCTGGCCGACGACGTTTTATGCATGTTTGACCTAGCTGCACTTGATTTTGACTATTCATGTTTCTTTTTATTGTGAACTTGCTCAGACTCTGTATGTGAACATGCGTATAAAAAGCTTGCCAAACCCGGGAGCTTTGCTGCCCGATTTACGTGTTGATCGTGCTCTATTTTCTATGTATTTATATCTCACATGATACGGCATCTTTCGGGTGATGTCCTTTAGATGACATATTAAATTCCTCTTATGAGACATATGACTGATGTAGCAGAAAATAAAGTCTTCAGTACGTGCCATGTATTTTCTACTCAGCGTCATGGGCTGTCGCTGGCGGCGGGGCGTCTGAGTTCATCACCGGCAGCTTCAGCGCCACTGTTCCGGACGCTGGTACGGACGATGAATGACTTGCATGGCCTCAGGCCATCCTGTCTGGTCGGGAAGCAATGCGGACCTTCGATCGATGCCCGCAGTTGGGCCACGCGTGTGCAATATGCACGCGCTTTGCGACAAGGTGCCTGCGCTCAGTCGGCTCCGAATTGGTGGAGAGCGTCAAAAATATTTAGTCAGCGGCCATTACGCTGCACTTCACCGCTGCTTGAGGTGCGAATGCCGACTGACGATCCGTTAAGCAAATGGAGCGCAATATCAGCAGCGGCAAGGGAGCGGGGTCAGCACCACACTCCACTGACCGTGTCATGCGCGCTTATTACCGCTCTGCAGGCACGTGACCTGGCACTGCGCCAGCTCGGCGCCAGCAGAAACGGGAGCGCCGTGGCGCGCAGTGACCTTGTCGTTAGTCAACACTGCAGCTGGAGTGAGTGAGGCGAGGGCCGCCGGGCCGAAGGCCGCCGCGTACAACTGACCGGCCCGGGTATGCGGCGGGCCACGCTCTACTTTTTGCAGAATCCGACCATCTCCATGCTTGAGTAATCGACCCACGGTTCTTCTGCGGCCGCGCTGGACATTCTTATTTGATGATGGCGGGCAGGAGGCCACCGCGTCGGGGAGGCGACTCTGACTCACGGTGAAAGGACATAATTGTCGAGAGTGCATCCATCCACTTCAGCTCAGGCGCGCATCCAGAGCCTCGGCAAGGGAGGGGGGCCGGACAGAGGGTTGACGAAGGGCTCCCTGATAGTAAAATGCCCCTCTCCAACTATAAAAAAACGCTGGATATGGCACATTTGTTATTAAAGGCATGTTTTTTATATTTTTCAGCTTGGCCTTCTATAACTAAAAAAGACGCCAGAAGCTACCGCGAGATCAGTTCTGCATGCATTTTCAGTTAATAAATTGAAGAAATAATGCGTTAAGCGACTGCATGAAATAAATCGCCGGACCTCTTCATTTTACACCGATTCGAGGCATTTTTTCCAGACAGATTGAGCTAGGAGGCCTTGTCGGACTTTCTATTTGTGTTTTCAGAATAATGAAGGACCCCGGAATGTAGAATGTGCATTGAAATGGGTCAACAAATTGTGTTAACGTAGCCAAGCCTGTTTGTTTGAAAATGTTCAACATCCAGTCTGATTCGATCAGTGACACGCCTTATGTAACGTAGTTCTGAGCATGTACGATTGCAAATTTAAGCAACAAAAACCTCCACGCCAGGCGTTACAGTCTCCAAAGGCCGCGCAGCTTGGCCCTGTCGCTAAGACTATGTCGTGGCCGCCGGGTGGTGGAAGGTGACGCGTCTGAAGAAGTACTTTTGAACGCTTTGCTATCAAATCGCACATTTAGAAGGTACTCCGGGCATATACTTCACTTGTGCGATTTTTTATTAATGATAAGAACGGATTAGGCTTAACAGCACCGTGAAGTGGTTCTGGAATTTGGTAGTGGATCTAGCATAGTAAGGGTAGAATCTCTCATTTTCGTTTTGCTGTAGCTGTTGCTGTAGCTGTTCGTGTTGCTGTATCTGTCCAGAGGACAACCTCAAAGCTTGTAAACATTTGCAACCATCATTTGATGACGGCCGTTCTTGCGCACACGATACCCGCCGCCTGCTATTACTTACAGTGGTCGGCACCGTTCGGCTTTACGGACAGCGCAAACCAGGCCATCGCTGTCCGTGATCCCGAGATGGCGGGCGCACGAACTCAAACCTTTTGATGTAATTTGCCCTACGAGTCGGTTCTGCAAAAGGACGGACGCTCTCAGGCAGACATAGGATGGCGTTTTTCGTTTTATAGCTCATTTCGACCCACTCCATTCAACACTGATGATATCTCCTGTTTCTTTCTGGGAGAGGAGCCGCCTTGAGAGCAATACTAGGGGCATACTAAGGTTCCCAGCCAAAGGCAAAAGTGTCATTCTGTCCCACCGCGAAGTGTCTTCCGGCTGCCACTCTGGCGACACGGGTTGGGAATCCCTGGCCGATTTGGAGACCCTTAGAGTGGTACACTTCACCCTGGTCCCCTCCTTGACGCGGAAGGCCTTCTGACCCACTCAGCTGACCCCGGATCGACGCAGAAGCCCTCACTGACGAAACAGCATCCCTGATCGCGGCAGGTGATCCGATAATTGGCGCCCAGACTCCAGTTAGGCTTAACGGGCCCATGCCAGAACAGGGAGGGAGGGTGCAGCGTTCGGTGCTTGGGATCCTGACTAGAACAGAACCCTTCAATTGCCTCAATATAAACACTCATCATAGGGTCTCATATTTCCGTTTATTGTCAGAGGGCCCCGACCAACGCAAGAGACCCTCTGTCATTAGCAGTCCCGTCCCAGTCCCTGTTGAGCAAATCTTCCCCTAACTGATTCCAGGCCCCTCGTCGACACAAAATTCCTTGTTAGAAGCTGTCGGCCCCTGCACGCTACAGAATCCTTGCATTGTTTCAGGGGCCCCGACCAATCTAAATCGTGGACCCGGCCTTGTCCTTGCTTGGGAAATGGGCCCGAGAGCTCAGACCGACATGGAGCCGACTTTTCGGTATTGGTGATCTCTGGCCAAAAAACAGGAACGCTCTGTCTCAGGGGTCTCCTATCGGTACAGGGCGCCCTCTTACTGACATTGGAGATCACGGCTTTACGGGCGGTAGTCCTTAATGTGACCTTCGGACCCTTCAGCCTTACAATCGGCCCCTTGATCTTCTGTCTCGAGAGACCCCTCGGCTCCTCTTCGGGCTCACTCAGATATCGCTCCTGGCCGACTCGGGGCCACTCGCCGCTACAGGACGCCTGTTAGGCACTGTGACTCCTGACTGACACAGGAGCCGCTCACTGTGTCGGATCCAAACATTGCAAATCGGGGCCATGGCCTTGTTCCTGCTTGGGAAATGGATCTCAAGGGCTCAGACGGACATGGAGTTCGGTTCCCTCTCGAGGCCCTATACAATGGGGACAGATAGCCATATGAGAGGGCCCTAAAAGAAGCCCTGTTACTGACATTTCGGGTCAAAACATGGTTAGTGGGCCAGGCCCGAGTCCAATCAGGCCCTTGATTTTTGGCTCAGAGGACCCCCCTTTCGGTCACTCTTCGGACCTTCTCAAAGTCCGTGACAGACTAGCGGCCACTAGCCGATACATGGCCCCCTGTTAGGCACTGTGGACGCCTCACCAACACAGCGTCCCTCTCAATTATTTCAGCGGCCCAGACCGATGTAAATGGTGGCCACCGGCCTTGCATTCGCTTGAGAAATGGACCCCCAGGGTACAGATTCGCGGGGGGTCTGCTAGGTGTTCGTGGTATCTGGCCGACTTTGACACCCGCCTTGTCTCAGGGTGTCCTCAAACGACGCAAGAGAACCTCTGACTGATATTTCAGTTCACGATCCTACGGGCCACGATTCTTTCGTGACCTACAGCCTGTACTTCGTGTTGATATGTCCTCCAACCGGGCCTTTGATCGTCGGTTCCGGTGGGCCTCCCGGACCCCTCTTTGGGTCTCATCGAGCACTGCCCTTGGTCGGTTCGGATCTCCTTGCGAGCACAGGACCCTCTGTTAGGTACTGTGGACCCCTGACAGGAACAGGAGCTCCGACCAATGTGAATCACCAGCCCCAGCTTTGTCACTACTTGGGAAATGGGCCCTCAGGTCTATAACGCCACGACGCACACGTGCGTTACTGGAGGTGTCTGACCGCCATATGGGCCCTTATTGGCTCAGAAAGGCCCTGATCAGCGCGCAGTGCCCCCTGACCGGCATTGGAGCGCCCGGCCCTGTTGGGCCGGGCCTCCTAATATGACTTACTGCCGGCGTTTTGTGCCCTGCGGGCCCTCAAGTTGGGCCCGTAATCGTAGGTCCCGGGGGACGTAACCTGCTTGCACGTGCCCCCCTGTGTCCCCTGCCTGCGCTTCCGGTTCAGCTGCAAGCGGCGCCTGCAAGCGGTGGTCTAGGCAGTGAACAATGTCTTCTGCAGTAGTGTGCTGCCTGGTCAGCTGAAGTTATCTAATGGCCTTGGTTTGTCTACAAAATTGCGACATAAGAAATTGGTGACCCGATGAAGTTCTCATGAGAAACGTGCAGCAGGCCACCTGCAAAATTTGCAGAACCTGGGTCGAGACCCCGTCCCATATTTCAAAGGAAGGGGCCGGCGACACATGGTCGCCTCAGTTGGATTGATAGAAGGAAACCTTATTGGCACCAGATGTGCACTTCATTGATTTACAGCGTGTTCCATGTTGCCGACTTTGTTCTGATCCGTCACCGCTAATAGTCAGTTGTAGGACAGAACTCCTTATGGCATTTACTTAAGCATTGCGCAAAACTTCGTACCGCTTACCCTGGTATACAAATCTTTGTAAACAAAAAACTTTTGACGGACAAAACTTTGCAACCCAAAATTTCTTAAACCTCGCATGCATAAATGTTTGTACCACATTTAT